AAAAATACCAACTACCGAACCCCCCCCCCCCCCCCCCCCCCCCAAAAAAAAAAAACCCCAACGAATTTGACAACCTCCTTACTTCTATACAGTAGCCCAGCTGCCACATCTACTCCCCCCCCCCCCACCCCCTCCCCTTTTTTTTGTTGTTGTTTTGTTGAAAAAACAGACACAACACAAACTAACCAATGAAGCAATAGTTAACAAACAACAACAGCAACAAAAAACACCCCCTGCCCCTACCCAACGTCCACAGAAAAAAACAATTTCATGAAACAACAAAATCCTCTCAGAATTTTCCCCAGAGCAATTCACAGATGGTATATCTCCTTCTGGGTACTTCCACGTTATTTGTGTTCCTTGGCCAGCGCTATAGCCTTGGCGCTAAAATAGAAGCTAAAATAGAAGCTAAGATCGTATATCGTTCGAGGATACCAGATGGGCACTAGGAGACATCTGATGTCATGATCTAATCTACACTGGGCGCTCACTTCCCGGAGAGCTTGAGTCCAAAAAAACAACAACAACCCAACCCTTCAAGAACAGCAAAGTCTTGCTTCTTGTCGTGGGTGTCTGACTCATTTTGTCGAAGGTGGGGTGAGCACTTTTACGACGCCTTTCTATTTTTGAACCGCCTGTACGATGGCGACAATGGATCTGGTCTGATTTCACAGATCGGCAGCCACTTTGGCATAGTGTAATTCGATGGCCCATAGTCGACAATGCTTTTGAAAACAATCTGGAGAGGGTTGTAATAAGTATTTAGATTACAGTCAAACCACGTTGTTCCGCCCCCCCCCCTCCCACCCCCACTTTTTTTGTCCCTCCAGCCCCCCCTCAAAGCCTCTTTTTTTGCCAGTGCTTTACCTTGCCATCCAAACTAATGTAAATTTGCATCGACATACCGCCGGCGAGCTGGTCGCCAGAGGTACGCTCGTACACTACACATGGTGGGCAACACCCATGGGTGGCAACTTAATCATATTTTTTCACAACACACGACGTTTCTGCGAGGTTGGCATTTTCTATCGCTTGTCATCGATTTGCTCTTGATTATGGAAATGCTATTGTTTTTAGGCTTTGGCAAATATTAAGAAAAAAAAATGGCAATAAATTTCAAAGTCGCCTGGAGAAACTTCAAAGGAAATGAGCAACCTCGTCCTCTCGTGAACCTTTCCTTATGGTGAGGAATCACACTCAAGGCTACGGGAAAGGTTATAGGGTTACAAAAAGAAAGACCGAGCCCTTGAGACATTATCGCTTAGCTTCTGATCCCGCAAACATTTTCATCTTGAATTTACCTAAAGGTCGGTCAGAGTACATGATATTTGTTGCTACTCGTTTTTCAACTGTGGGTGATTATCGTGCAAGACAGAAAGATGAATCAAGACTACTCACAGTTAGTCTCTAAAGTCTCTTGTACCAGTCTACCAAGTCAAGATGGCATTTGGTACTGTCCCGTTATATCACCAGCGCCGTTGTACCATTAACTTCATGCTTTTTCCTTGGCAGGCGGTGTAACGGGGTTTGACTACACGTGTTCTCGCAGGTGATGAAGCCTTGTCCATTTCTGCTTCTACTCCCCATTTGGCGCCTGTGTTTTAAAATAATCTAGAAAGCTTGAAAATTATTATTGTTATAAGCCATGTGCACTTTCAAAATAACAAGTTTTATTGGGGTTCACTACTTTTTCCTTGTAGACGCAGCCGAGGCAGTCTTCAAAGAGGTCTAATTTTAAGAATAGAGACCCCTACTAGACCTATACCCCTAGCAAGCTGACTATGGCCAAGTATGCCGACATTATGTAGCACACTGTATCTTCAGGTGTGCCAATACAGGATGATTACAAAAGAATACACCAAAGTTATCTCGCGTTATTTTTAAAAAAACGAAACAAATATATTTTTTTTAAATAACGAAGCAACATTTTTAAAATCATCCTCTAGTTTGGACTCACGTGTTGCACATACCTTCAAGTTTTTATTTTATGTTTTGCAAGTGCTCAATGTGGCCACCACAGGAAACACGGACAACATCAAGCTTATAAGAGAATTCCTCCGAAACGCGCCTCAGAATGTCTCGGTCCACCGTGTTGATTGTACCTGTTTTTTTCGATCTTTCATGCCATCGATATTTGCTAGAAGTGGTGGAACATCGTTGACTTTAACAAATGAAAACTTGAAGCTTTGTACAACACATGTGTCCAAGTTAGAGTTTTCTGTCATTTTTCGTTTTTTGAAGTACATGTATCGCATGGTGAATTTGGCGTATTCTTTCGTTATCTCCCTGTACTTTCATGGCTGAGATATGTCTCTCGTTCCAAAAATCGTATCAGAAGCAGTCTTACTGTTTTGCAATAACTGTTCACACATTGACCACTCAAACACTAGTTATTGATTGCCTGGAAAAGAGCCTGTGCGCAGATACTGTGGGAAGCAGTCTTACTGTTTTATAATAACTGTTCACACATTGACCACTCAAACACTAGTTATTGATTGCCTGGAAAAGAGCCTATGCGCAGATACTGTGGGAAGCAGTCTTACTGTTTTACAATAACTGTTCACACATTGACCACTCAAACACTAGTTATCGATCTGGAAAAGAGCCTGTACGCAGATAACAATCATGTCAGAAACGGTTCCCTCAACCCACGCATCGTGATTGAACAAGAACTTGCAGGGAAGTCACGATACTGCCGGTATACATGGCAGGACCCCAGTTATCAGTATCTCGCTGCAAACCAAAATCACATACACAGTTTCACGAGAAATGGCACCCGAAGCCACTCTCGTTAAAATGACTTATTTGTAGCTGTTTGTCTGTCTGTCTGTTTGTCTGTCTGTCTGTCTGTACTTCTGTCTGTCTGTATGTCTGTCTGTCTGTCTATCTGTTATGCTTAGTACTAAACGACTGTTAATGTAGGTTCGTACATTAGACAGATAAAAACCCTAAAATAAATCGAACAAGGCTTCTCCCAATGAATAAACAAATTAAAAAATAATAGATTAATAAATAAAAATAAATACAAGA